GCCCCACCCTATAGGGGGCCATGAGGGAATACTATTAGTACAGCCTTGGGAGCTGTGCCCAGCTCGCCACTCTGGGCCTTGGGGCGAGCCCCACGGGCTGCGTCACTCAGGCGCCCCTAAGGCCCTAAACCCTAAACCCCAAACCCTCAACCCTGAACCTTAAACCCTAAGCCTATAGCCGAAACCCTCAAGACTAAACCCTAAAGCCTAAAGCCTAAAGCCTAAAGCCTAAAGCCTAAAGCCTAAAGCCTAAAGCCTGAAGCCTGAAGCCCAAAGCCTAAACACCCTAAACACCCTAAACACCCTAAACCCTAAAACCTAAATCCTCAACCTAAAACCCCCCTAAACCCTAAACCCTAAACCCTAAACCCTAAGCCCTGAACCCTAAGCCGCCCCCATCTCGAAAGGCTACACCCCTCAAAGCCTTGAACCCCACGACTTTCGCAGCCGCGGGGCTTCAGTAGGGTTTGGTGCAGGGTTTCGGGCTTAGGGCTTAGGCCTTAGGGCTTAGGGTTTGGGGGTTAGGCTTTAGGCTTTAGGGCTTCGGGTTCAGGGCTTAGGGTTTCGGGTTTGGGGGTGTAGGGTTTCGTGCTTTAGAGGGCTTTGCGCAAAGATGACGCACCCCCCGCCCCTCCCCGAGCCAAAAAAAACTCTGAGGGCCCCGGCTCCCGGTCATGAAGGCCGGCGCCGATGCCACTCCGAAAGCGGTAAAGGCATGTACAGTAGGGTTTAGGGTTTAGGGTGTAGGGTGTAGGGTTTAGGGTTTAGGGTTTAGGGTTTAGGGTTTAGGGTTTAGGGTTTAGGGTTTAGGGTTTAGGGTTTAGGGTTTAGGGTTTAGGGTTTAGGGTCTAGGGTTTAGGGTTTAGGGTTCCAAACCTTTTTCCGCACCTCTGAACTCTTAAGACTGTCAGGTTTTCGAGCCTAAGAACCCTCAGCCCTGAACATACCAACTAACACGAACCCTTGAACACCTCAGGGGGTTGGAGACTTGCTGATAATTGTGCTGTTTAGAGTTTGGTTTTTTGAAGGCTTCTGCGCCTGGTAGGGCTTCTCGGACTTCTAGTGGCTTGTTGGGTTTGTAGGGTTCCTGGTGTTTGTTGAGGTCTAGGGGTTAGGGTTCGTAGGGCTTCAAGGCCGCATCAGGCTTCTAGCGATGAATTGGAGAGCTGGGACATGAGGAGGAGCCATAAGATGCCAGCAGAAGACAGGGTAAAGGTTCAACCCTAAACCCTGAACCCTGAACCCTAAACCCTAAACCCTATGCCCTAAACCCTATACCCTAAACCCTTGTAGGGGCCCAGAGCTTCAAGGCTCTGAAGCTTCGCGGGGTTTGGGTTTAGGGTTTAGGGTTTAGGGTTTAGGGTTTAGGGTTTAGGGTTTAGGGTTTAGGGTTTAGGGTTTAGGGTTTAGGGTTTAGGGTTTAGGGTTTAGGGTTTAGGGTTGAGGGTTTAGGGTTGAGGGTTTAGGGTTTAGGGTTTAGGGTTTAGGGTTTAGGGTTTAGGGTTTAGGGTTTAGGGTTTAGGGCTTACAGTAAACTCCAGAAAGTTGGAGCATCCTTATCCCCAGACTCCAAAAGGTATACGAAAGGGAATCCCAGCTCTAAACATCCTTAAACCATGCTCCAACTTTCTGGAGTTTACTGTAGGGCTTAGGGCCTAGGGCTAAGGGCTAGGATTTGGGGTTGAACCCTTGAACCCCGCGCACTGAAGGATAGGGTGTTAGGGCTTAGGTCGTTAGGCTATCTGACAGCTTTGGATCAACGGTGTGGGGTTTAGGGTTAAGGGTTTAGGGTCTAGGGTCTAGGGTTTAGGGTGCAGGGTGAGCTTCTGGTTTGATTAGGGCTCCTGCCTCCAGATGGGGGGGTCGTGTTAAATTCGGGTTTGGGTACATTTCCTTCACTCTACACCCTACAAAGCCCCAGCCTAAACCAAAGTGTCAGTTCCTCAAGAGTAACCCTAAACCCTAAACCCTGAACCCCAAACCCTAACCCCTAAACCCTAAACCCTAAACCCGAAACCCGAAAAAACGAAGAGAAGCACGAGTTCGGCCACCTTTCGCTCCCAGAGTGCTAGGTCCTCCGCGTCTTCGGCCGGATTCGAAAGATGCTGGAGCCCGTCCGCGTGATTAGGGTTCAGGGCTATTTAGGGTTTAGGGTTTAGGATTGAGGGGTTGAGGGTTTGGGGTTTGGGGTTTAGGGCGGTTTAGGGTTTAGGGTTTAGGTTCCGTATAAGGTTATTGCGGTTACTAGGGATATAAGGGTTGTTAGGGTTGTTAGGGTTTTTGGGGAGATTCGAAAATTCGGGTTATTGGGGTCGGTCTGGGTTAAGGGTTGTCATGCTTATTAGGGTTACCAGGGTCCTCAGGGTAACTAGGGTTTAGGGATGGTTGGGAGGTGGGGAGGTACGAGGTGAGCAGCTGTAGATCTTTTCCACGAAGCCGTGAACACGCGAGCCCCCTAAACACGAAACCACCACACCCTAAACCCGAAACCCTAAACCTTAAAGCCAAACCTTAAACCCTAAACCCTCAAACCTCAACCCTCAACCCTCAAACCTCAACCCTAAACCCCAAACCCTAAATCCAGCTATGATGACGATCATCCGCTTCGTCGTGGGCGGGCTCTCGGTTCATTTGTGGCTCCCCCAGGGCCCCCTTGCAGCTCCTCGCTGCCCCCAAAGCCCCCGGATATCTCTTTCAGGAACGGCAGCCGAGCATGAACCACCTAAGGGTCGAAAGGACCCTTCCTAAACATGGCGTGTATCAAACCAAGGTGCAAACCACCCAAGATCCGAACAAAATCCAAAGACCGTGACCGCCACCTATACCCTAAACCCTAACTCTCCTAAACCCTAAACCCTAAACCCTAAACCCTAAACCCTAAACCCTAAACCCTACAAAGGCCCTGGGGGTTAGGGGAGGTGGCAGAGACAACCCCTTCTTTCGGCGTCCTCTGCAGGTGAAACCGTGGCCTCCTACTCGGACCCTGGGTCCTGTTAGGGTTAAGGGTTCAGGGTTCAGGGTTTAGGGTGGGCCTAGGGCTTAGGGCTTAGGGCTTAGGGCTTAGGGCTTAGGGCTTACGGCTTAGGGCTTAGGGCTTAGGGCTTAGGGCTTAGGGCTTAGGGCTTAGGGTTTAGGGTTTAGGGTCGTGCACAGGGGTACCACCGGCAATGGAGCTGAACAAACACCCTAAACCCTGCACTCCAAACCCTAAACCCTAAACCCGAAGCCCCAAAACCCCTAACATCCCAAAGATCCCTAAAACCCATAAAACCACTAAAATCCCCTAAAATCCCCTAAAATCCCTAAAATGCCCTAAATCCCGAACATCTCCAAACCACACCACCAACCCACCAACCCGCAGAACCCTCAACCCTAAACCCTAAACCCTCAACCCGAAAGCCCTAAACCCTAAACCCTCAACCCTCAACCCGAAAGCCCTAGACCCTAAGAACATAATTGCCATGCGAAAACAACGGATCTCGTCATAACCAGACCCCGTAGAAGCCCTAAATCTTTGTGGGGCCGAAAAAAGGCTCGAAACAAACGGAATCCTAAAATCCTGCACTCTCTTAAGCCCTCAGAACTACGACTTGCTTAAGAGACCTCAAGATAGGGATATTCTGTTCTCCCATTTTTGCGATTTCTCAAGCCAGTAGTAGTAAACCACGCCCTCCTAAACCCTTACGCCTAACCATTCATGGGGGGGGGAGGGTTTCAGGTTTAGGGTTTAGTTTAGAGTTTAGGGCTTAGGGTTTCGGTTTAGGGTGTAGGGCTTAGGGTTTAGGATTTAGGGTTTAGGGTTTAGGGTTTAGGGTTTCGGGCTTAGGAAACCCTAGACCCCCAAAAACCGCAGAGCTGGTCGGCCCTCGCTTTCAGAAGGAGTTTGGCGCAATTCGGCCCGGCGCATTCAGCTGCGGCGCCTTTGCTTATAACTGGGTTGGCCTTGAAAGCCTCTGAAAAATATTCATATAGGGTCCCTTATAAACCCAAATAAAGATAAAATAAGCAAAATACAAAGTCTCCCAAAAACCAACCTAGTTAAGGCCGGGGTGTAGCCATGTTGTCCCAGGTGATTGCGGAAGTAGGGTTAGGAGTTTAGGGTTTAGAGTTTAGGGGTTGGGGGGTTGGAGAGGGGGTGGAGGGGGGGGGGGGGGGTGGTGTTTATGGGTTAGGGCTTTCTTGGGCGGGAGAGGCTTGGGGGCTTATGGGGTTTAGGCTTTGTGGCTAAAGGCTTGAAGGGCTTCGAGGTTGAGGGGCTTTCGGGGTTTATGGGAACTTCTGACTCATACTTCTCCAAAACCATCGCACCAAACTCGTATGGTTCAACTCGATAGCTCCCTGAAAGAACTATGGGAAGCTATTAGGGTAGCTACAGGGTCCCTTTAGAAGCTATTAGGGTAGTTGCATGGTCCCTTTAGAAGCTATTCGGGTAGTTACATGGTCCCTTTAGAAGCGATTAGGGTAGTCACATGGTCCCTTGAGAATGGGACCCCTTGTACGCCCCTTACATACCATGTACAACCCAAAGGGCCCATACTTCAGAGCCCTTGCGAAGTGATAAGAAGCCCTGAAAACTACCAATTGCTTAAGAAACCCAAAGAATTAAAATAAAAAAAATATATATACATATATATATATATATACATATATATGTATATACTTCCTTATAAGGGTAATATAGGGATTATGATTTTGTGTTTTTGGGGGGTTCTTAAGCAAACAGTAGTAGAAAACCCTGAAGCCCTGTAGTCAATGTGGCTCCGGCAACACGAACCCACAGCTTCCTTTTGTGCAAATTCAAGAACATCCCCCAGCGCTGGAGATGAATAGAGGGGTTTAGGGTTTAGGGTTTAGGGTTTAGGGTTTAGGGTTTAGGGTTTAGGGTTTAGGGTTTAGGGTTTAGGGTTTAGGGTTTGAGTAGAATAGAGCACCCCTGCGGGCGTTGGGGGGGCAGGCGTCTCTTCTTCGGTCTGGCCCGAGACCCGGCAGGGCACCAGCACTCAGCACCCAGCAAGATGGACCTGGGTGATCTCCACAAAGTTCCCTGCTGGGACATCAACCGCCTTCACTGTGAGTTTGGCTGGCCAACTTGTCACCTGAAACTCTGGCGAGTCTCGGGACAGGCGGAGTGGCGCAGGTCTTGGTGGCAGAGCATTGCGGATGGTAAGCGAACGGTCGCCGACAGACACTGAGAAGCTGCTGCACTCCGCGTGCTTTGAGTGCGCGACGTACTTCAGGGACACCGATGTGGCACAGCGTGGCAACGGTAGCTGCAGCACGGCTCCTGGCCGGGAGGTGTACATGGTCTTCTTGTGGGCTGTAAAGACAGCTCCATACTTGAAGTCCTGCATCGTGAACTTCAAGGCGTCTAGCTCCGGAATCTCCCTCAAAATGCTGGGCAAACCCTCGTAGAACTTCATGCCCCACGTGCCGTAGCAGGACGCTTTCGGTTCAGCTGTGGGACTTTGAACCCACGTGGACGCTGGCGCTGAGGCCAGAAGCGACAGCAAAGCGCGGGAGACGGCAAGAGCCACCAGCTCCTGGTAAGCTTCACCACCATGCTGCATCTGTTCTAGGTATTGCGACTCACACTTTCCGACGGATTGCCTGGAACTATCTCTTGAGCCAGCTTTTGAAGCTGGGGGTTCGGGTCTCTCGGCCGCTACGTGACACTCCTCCGGGGCATCCGAGAACAAGATGCGGGTTGTAAATGGTGGCATCCACCTCCACCACATCAGACTTGCATCCCTGAACGCGACGAAGCAGCTGGAGTTGCGGTTGGCCGAGACGTGCTTCAGGGAGATGCGCTTGTAGCGGTCTGGGGCACGCATTTGCATCAGAACCGGCGAAAAAGTCCAGGCGAAAAGGTCCAAAAACACCACGTATCGCGAGATTCGCGCAACTTGAGCTATCCAAGTGCGGACTTCACTTGCGTTTGGGCTATTCAGCGTCCACTCACCGATGACCACATCATAGCGGTTCCTTGGTGGGCAAGTCCTCCAAAACAGAGGGGAAGTTGCTCCAACGGCGTTGTTTTCCACTCTGGCGGGGACTTGGAGAATGTCCAAGTTCTTCTGTAGAAACAGCGGCCAGATCCCAGTACTCACGGAGCCCCCGAAGATCCCGATTCTGAACGGCTTCCGATTCTGATGCCAGATGGGCTCAGGTGGCGGCATCTGACCCTCTCCGCACGTGGGAGCCACCATTCCGACAAATGTAGAGAGCACATCACACGACACGCGCGTGCCGTTTATGTAGCACTCGTCCGATCTGCTCGAGTTGGACGTGAGCATGGATACAAAGTCTCGCTGTGTCAGCCTTGGACTCCTGCCAGCTTCGGCTGCGAAATCCCGGAAACCACGGGCCTGCAACAGGCAAACGCCCGCGACCAAGATCAGCAGACTCAGCAGGATTGCCAGAGCCATGATCATGGGCAAGCTTACATCTCAGGGGGCAAGGGGACTGCAAGCTACATCGGGCAAGGGCTCGATCTTTCTTGCTTCTTAGGAGCCGTTCTCATGAGCTTCACCCCTGAGATGTGCTTTTTTCGAACTTGATCTTGGGGTTCATGGTGGCAGGCTTATGAGTGTCTGATTGCAGAGCTTGTCTGACACAAGAACCTGGTTGCGTTCTGTGGGATCTTGGGTTTCGGGTCTAGGGGTCTTGCAAGCAGCAACACCTTAAGTCTGAGGGTACATGTCCAACATTGTTCCACTACCCCACCTCCATTCAATTTAGAGGAAGTAAGGGGCCATATTCAGAGCCCATAGAACTATCCTTAGAGAAGCAGAACTTTTACGTGTGTGCTTCCGGCTAGGGGCTGCAGGGTTTGGGGGTTGGAGGCAGTCCTTCGAACCGAAACCCTAAACCCTAAACCCTAAACCCTCAGACGGCTGCAGCACAAGGAGCAAAGAACATCGGTGTCAGGCCTGACTCGGCCTGACCCCTCTCCCACGCAATAAAGAATCAGACAGCGCATTGCGACCGAAAGCCAGAAAGAAAAACTGACTTGTTCTTCGTAGGAAATGAGCGAATGAAACCCTAAATGCTAAACCCTAAACCCTAAACCCTAAACCCTAAACCCTAAACCCTAAACCCTGAACCCCTGAACCACGAGTCGCATCTGAGATCAGCACTCCCGACTTGCTGATTTCGGGCCTCAGCGGATACTCCTGCCCCGGCACAGGTCACTCTTGGACTTCCGGGGTGGCTTAGGTGTTCAGGGTTTAGGGTTTAGGGTTTAGGGTTTAGGGTTTAGGGTTTAGGGTGTAGGGTTTAGGTCTTAAGGTTTAAGGTTTAAGATTGCGGGTGTCCAAAACTCTGGGGACTGCTGATATTATAGGGCTGCAGGTGATGGAGTCTTTTGTGTGTTTGTGGGGGCCAGGATACAGGCGATTGAGGCTACCAAGTTTCAGAGTTTAGGGTTTAGAGTTTAGGGTTTAGGGTTTGGGGTTTAGGGTTTAGGGTTTAGGCTTTAGGGTTTAGGCTTTAGGGTTTAGATAGCTCGGGGGGGGTTTAGGTTTAGGGTCTGTAAGGGTTAAGGGTTTGGGGTTCAACCCGGACGCTGAACGAACTCTACACTTGAGCCCCCTGAAGCCGAGTTTGGGGTTTCGGGCTTAAACCCTAAACCCTGCGAACCCGAAACCCTAAACCCTAAAGCCTAAACCCTAAACCTTGCGAACTACCACTTAAACTACAGCAACTAACCATAAACCTGCTCAAGCTCTATGTACTCAAGGTTACCTGTCGGATTGGAGGGATTTGAGCAAGACTAAACGCTAAACCCTGAGCCCAAGAAGGTTAAGGGTTGTGCACTCGACTGCCCAAACCCTCAGCCCAGACGACAAACAAAGCAAAATATAGGGTCGTTGAGGGAGGTATGTACCCCAAGGTTCCCTAATACTCCCCACTACTCCCTAAGGCTCCCTAAGCTTCCCTAAGGTTCCCTAGCCACCTACCCCCCATGAAACCCCGTAACCCTAAACCCTAAACCCTAAACCCCCCATGAACCCCCACCCGTAAGAACCCTATAAACGCCGAGCGTTTTGTTCCTGAAGCGGTTGCCTGGGGGCTAGGGTTTAGGATTCAGGGTGCAGGGCTTAGGGCTTAGAACTTAGGAGTATATGGGGCTTAGGGCTTAAAGTATTTATAGCAAGGTTTAAGGTTCAGGGCTCAGGGCTCAAACAATCTTCAGGGGCTGGAAGATGTTGGGCTTTCCCACAACCCTGCAAACGCAAACAACATGTAAACACACCCTGAACCCTAAACTCTGAACCCTAAACCCAAACCCCAAAGAACTCCTCCCCCCCCCCAAAAAAAAAAAACAGACACAAAAAAACTGCAAACGCCCTCTGAACATCTCTGAACCCCAAACCCTGAACCCTACCGCCACTCTCAGAGCAACCCTAAACCCTAAACCCTAAACCGTGATTCCTGGAGGTAGAAAGGGCTGGTGTCGAGGCCATCCGCAGCCTGCGGATGGTGCCACGAGTTCTAGTTCTAGTTGATTGTTGGGAGAATATAAAAAAACGTTGAATAAATTTCCTTAGAAGGAATAAGGAACTTAAACCCAATAAGGTTATTCATGGTAAAATGTTACCCAACTATGACAAAGAGTTGGGTTAATTAGAGCTTGGGGTTCAGGGCTTAGGGGTCTAGGGTTTACGGTTTAGGGGGCTTAGGGTTTAGGGTTTAGGGTTTCCTCCCTTGTCCACTGCGAAAGCATCCTTTGCTTTGGGGCCGGCTACTTGCCAGCAGGGAGCGCTTTTGCTTCGCAGACAAATCCCTCGGCAAGTCCTTCTGCTTCTTGTCCCACCTCACCGAACCATCGCCCTCAGAAACATCGTCGCTTCATTCAACCTAGAAGCCCTAGAAACCTCAGGAGCACGAGTAACAAAAAGGAACCCTGGAAGCCCAGAAACCCCAGAAACCCTTTACAATATATATATATATATATATATATATATATATATATATAAAGCGCAATGCTATGAGGCAACCCTAAACCCTAGAAAGCATAGCAACCCTAGAAAGACGAAAGGCCCTAAACCCTAGAAACTCTAGGGCTCTTCAGTGCTTTGGTTCAGAGTTTAGGGTTTAGGGTTTCGGGCTAAGGGCTTAGTAAGGTTTGAGCTTAGGGCTTATAGGGTTGAACAAGAAGTGAACATCAAACCCTAACCCCTAAACCCTAGTATGCTTGAGGGTATTCTCTTCGGAGTTGTGGGAGCACCTTAGCACCAAACCCTAATGCAGATCCCTATAAACAACGAAGTTTAGGGTGTCTCGGGGTTCGGGCCGAAGCCCCCTAAACCCTAAACCCTAGACCCTGAACTGAAACCTCAGTTTTCCAGAACCCTGAAGCCTGAGCCCTAACATCCCTGCACCCGTCAGCGGCTAAACTCTAAGCCCTAAACCCTAAATCCTCAGCCCTAAACCCTAAACCGTAAACCCTGAAACCTGAGCTCTCACGAGCTCTCAGGGCAGAAATTTCAATCCTAAATCGTTGAAGTCAACCGGACAACCATGATGGCCTACACCCTGGGTTTCCTGGTACGAGTTTGGCCGAAGGTTTAGGGTTTAGGGTTTAGGGTTTAGGGTTTAGGGTTTAGGGTTTAGGGTTTAGGGTTTAGGGTTTAAGGTTTAGGGTCTAGGGGATATGTAGGGTTCAGGGCTCAGAGCTGAACTGCTCTCCAAATTCTTAACACAGGGGCCTACATGGCTACCAATAGGTTTCATGCAGTCAACCTGCCCCAAAAAGCCCACTGTAACGAATGAGGCCCTAAGCTACAAGCCCTAAGCCCTAAGCCCTGAGCCCTGAGCCCTAAGCCCTAAGCCCTAAGCCCTAAACCCTAAACCCTAAACCCTAAACCCTAAACCCTAAACCCTAAACCCTAAACCCTAAACCCTAAACCCTAAACCCTAAACCCTAAACCCTAAACCCTAAACCCTGAACCCAAACCCTACACCCAAATCAACAGGCCGCTGGATGTTTCTACGCCCCCTGCCTGAGTGGCCGAAGTCTCGTCTAGCTTCTCCGTCGCTGCCTGCACACGCCGTCAGGTCAGAGGACGAGGGTTTAGGGATTTAGGGATTTAGGGATTTAGGGATTTAGGGATTTAGGGATTTAGGGATTTAGGGATTTAGGGATTTAGGGATTTAGGGATTTAGGGATTTAGGGATTTAGGGATTTAGGGGTTTTAGGGGTTTTAGGGGTTTTAGGGGTTTTAGGGGGTTTAGGGGTTTTAGGGTTTTTGGTTTTTGGGGTGTAGGGTCTTAGGGTTTTTAGGGTTTAGGGATTAGGACCGATTAGGACTTAGGGTTCAGGGCGTGGGGTCAGGCTTGGGTTTAGGGATTTAGGGCGTTTCGGATTTGGGGATTTAGGGATTAGGGATTTAGGGCTTGTGTTCAAGGTTTACCCTCCAGCCACAAGCACGATTGCTTCGGTAAATCTGCGCCCTATAAGCCCTGAGCCCTAAGCCCTAAACCCTAAACCCTAAACCCGAAACCTAAACTCCTTTCCCCTAAAGGACCTGGACCCTGCGTTGATCCACCAAGCTTACCCCCTAAGCCCCTGAACCCTAAAACTCTAAAACCCTAGAACCCTAAAAAACACTTTTAAACAAAAACCTCAAAACCTTTAACAAAAATCTAAAACAACAGTAAAAAAGCAAAAATGCCTAGCCTAAAACCCTAAACCCTAAGACCCTAAGACCCTAAGACCCGAAGACCCGAAGACCCGAAGACCCGAAGACCCTAAGACCCTAAGACCCTAAGACCCTAAGACCCTAAGACCCTAAGACCCTAAGACCCTAAGACCCTAAGACCCTAAGACCCTAAGACCCTAAGACCCTAAGACCCTAAGACCCTCAGACCCTCAGACCCTCAGACCCTAAGACCCTCAACCCTAAACCCTACTAGGGGTGTGGAGGCTGGCTGGCCTCTTCTGGCGTCTCTTGGGGCGCAGTGAGATGGCAGGGCAACTTCAGCACACTTCCTGAGGAACTCTTCGGCTGTTTTTTTTGGGGCTTAGGGTTTAGGGTTTAGGGTTTAGAGGTTAGGGTTGAGGGTTGAGGGTTGAGGGTTGAGGGTTGAGGGTTGAGGGTTGAGGGTTGAGGGTTTAGGGTTTAGGGTTTAGGGTTTAGGAGTAGTGGGGCTAATTATAACTTCAGTTGGAGCCGACCGCTCCACGTCCAAACCCTATAAAGCCTAAATCCTCAACCCCGAAACCCGGCAACCGGGAAACCCCTAAACCCTAAACCCTAAACCCTAAACCCTAAACCCTAAACCCTAAACCCTAAACCCTAAACCCTAAACCCTAAACCCTAAACCCTAAACCCTAAACCCTAAACTCAAAATCCCCGCACAAAAACACATTCTGGGCGTTGGCTGTCGAAAGTCCATCCAGGTCCAACCCGCGGCCGATACTGCCTCG